AGAGCGGTTAAGGAGTATGATAGCATACATAGCACTAATAAAATATCAAAGCAAGCAAAGCTTGTTTAAACAATTTGATGTGCGCAGATGGCTCAAATCATGTGAGAGGGTGCAGAACAAGATATAAAGTAGCACAAAGAGGAACACTTGATAATATAAAGCACGGGAGGACTACCACAACTAATAGATCACAGTGAGTTGTGCTATGCTTGGTTAAACAATTGAATAATTCAAAGTTACATTAAGCAATTACTTTCTTTCTATTGGAAAAATGATTAGGATCTTTGCCATATTGTACAAAAAACAGGAATATATCCCTTGAAACTTGAAAACTAGAACAACTTTTTAAAAAAAATATCATTGATGAACAATATAATAGACACTTTGGTCTCAAACAAAGTAAATTTTAAAATTGACACTTCAGCATCAACATATATCATTTTATTCTCTTCTTAGGATATTGTAATGTTAAACAAGATTGGACTAACTTATTAGAAATTTTCACAATTTGTATTATTTTCTTGCAATTGAAAAAACAGACAAAAAATTATAGCCCCATTATTTAATAGAAATAAATAATCACATATAAGAGAAACATAAGACTTAAATCTATACAAACCTTAATTAAGAAAAATAAAAAATGGCCATGCATGAGGTTTCCCACCAATTCAAGATCTATGGAGAAGTTGATGTATATAATCTTTCTCCATGGATTACATACATTGTTTTACAATGTATGCCCATCACCTCCAAATCATAATGGAGACAAACTAACAATTGCTCCAAGCCTATCCTCTAGATCATGAAAAAAAAGTAGTAAGAAAGAATAACAAGCACCTGACCAATTTCACTTTCGCCATTTGTAACCAACACTGCATCACGAGCTTCTTCAATTTCTAACAGCAAAGTAGATCTAAAAATCAAACATTTGAAGATATTTCCATTCAAAGAACATCAATTTTCTCTTACCATAAGATTCATCATTCTCCTCCTTAAGCCCGCCATCCTTTGGGAGGATATTTGATGCCCCATACCACTTCCGCAACTTGGGTCCACCTAAAAGTGGCTTCCCCATAATAAAATTTCACTTGAAGCCGAATTATACACAAAATGCATCATCTTAAAGGCAAACAAAGAGTGAGCCACCTAGGCTAAGAGAATAATATGAATAATATAATAAATAGCAATCTTTTAGTCAAGAACTCCACCCACTCTTTTTGGATTAAAAATAAACTAAATACACATGAAAATTAAAGTGTAATCTACCTTAAATATACAACTAACTTTATAAATGAGCATGGAAAAAACGAGAACTAATAAAAATGAATGTAGAACGAGGATTCATAAAGCAAACATCAAAGAGTTCGGATAAGGCTGATAACGATGACGATAATGAGTTGGTGACATCAAATTATGTTATAATGTTGACTCTAATCGCTTTAATTAAAAAAAATGAAGTAGATGGAGTTCATAATGTTCACAATTGTTCAAAGGAAAAAAAAAACCTATGGGCGTATTAATGCTGATTGTGAAAAGCAAGGGACAAAGTGTGCTTACTACGCAACGAAATAGAGTCGAACAATCTCGCATGCATGTGCAATCTACTACAACACTTTCGAGCGTGTTCGGATTGGTGCTAGGGTTTTAAAAATTCAATACCAGTAAAACAGATTAGAACATGAACAGAGTTGTATAATTGCATCGGGAGCTCACCTTCGATGTAGTCAAGAATGCGATCTGTAAAACTGGTTTCTTTCTTCTTCGAGGAGTGGCAGATGAAGAAGGGGCGAGAAGGAGAAGCTCTGGAGGAAAGAGAGAAACCGTTAGAGGGAAGAATGGTGATACGGGATGGAGAAGACGGCGAGAAGAGGTGAAAGCTGGCTATTGAAGGATCGTCGCCCTTCGTAGTATTAATTGCTGAGAGAGGAGGAAAGAGGAAAAAAGTTGCCATCGCTGACTGACCATTCGGGGAGGAAGAGGAAACTAGATAAGGCGGGATGACCATGAATGGAAGCCGGTGGCGGAAGCAAAACCTTAAATAGCACCAAATTCTCTTGTACTTATGTCACACCCATACTTTACAAATCACCTTTCTATACATCTTAACGATGCTTAATTTGTAAAAATTAAATTTTGGATGCAAGTAAATGCATAAGAATTGCATGCATTGCATATAAATTTCTGAATAAAATATTAAGGGTCTGTTTGGGGCAGCTACAATAAGGCAGCTGCAGCTTATTGAATAATTTGCTGATAAGCTGATTAAAAATAATCTGTTGATAAGCTAAATGTGTGGCTATTATAAATTTTTATTTTTTTTTGAAAAGTTAAAACGCTGCCAGAAAGCTGTCACCACACCTAGATAGGTGTGAAAACACTGTTTTCAACATTTTCAAAACGCATAAGCTGCCAAAACGGAGTTTACCCAAACAAGTCGGGTGCATTTTCAAAACTTCACCGCACCAAATAAGCTGCCCCAAACGGGCCCTAAAATGGGGCATTTACCTGCTCACAACGCACATTCTTATATATTTACAAACCTAATATATAAAAATCCATATCTACATGTTCTATATGCATAGGTGACTCCCATGGGCCCATGCATAGGATGGCAAGTTTTGAGAGCCAAGAAGGCTCAACCACCTTTTTTAGAAAAAGATAGGTCACATTCGCCTTCTCACAAGGACATTACAGGCGGGCTTATACCGTATGGTCTATATTTTATTATTCTTTTTTCTCCTGTGGTTTAGAGACAAAGCGAAGGAACTTGAGAGAACGAGGATATAAATTTAGGCACTTCCCACTTTTGTTAGGGTGATTACGAATAGTCGTTTTTCAAGTTTTATGCCTACTATAGGCTAAGAATTGAGATTTAAGGGAGCAACTTCCACCACTTTCTTTCCTGATTCAATATTTCTCTCAATACAAAGTCTCTCCCATGTTATGTGAGCTCAAAAATAATATGAGACCCTACATCTTAAAAGAATTCAACACATGCATATTACTCCAATTTTTTGGATCACATCAAAAATATAATCATCAATATTGTTTTAGAGGTACAGTACACATTTTCATGCATAGATTTATGACAACAATATGCAATCAGTGTAAATATTAAACTTTTGGAATTAGATATGTAAATACAAAAGAATTTTTTGGTATGTACGTAAATTTCCTAATTAAAATGGGCAATACGCGGCTTTAAGCAAATTTATCTTTTGTCTTTATTTTGACGAATATGTTTTGTTTGCATATATTTTTATAAAGATATTCATATGAGGAATAACAAGTTTGTTTTCTCAAAATATTTATTTGAGCCATAAATCTTTTGTAATTCAATTGAATTTTAATTAGTTCCAACTTAATTGAAATGTCTTCAACCTCCATTTCATCCCATCCTCTTAATTTAATCGGTGCTTCCTACTCCCATTGACCATCCTTTGTCAATGACTGTTATTAATCTCAAAACCAGCCATGTTTAAACTCGCCAACCCGTTTACCACCAATTCCTAATAATGGTGTCAAAAATTGACTAGACACGTCAACTTGACCGGAACCTAAATTGAAAATTTCATATTTGAGTTGTCCTGAACAATTTTTAGGTCTTGTTAGGGTTAGGAATTCTTATTATTTTAATTCATTAGGTTGATTTTGGGTCAACCCACCAACACAAAATTTACTCGTCAACTCAAAATCAACTCACCAACCCGATATTGACTCAAAATCAACTCAAAACGGACCATACTGACAAGAATTGTTGTTATTTCAAGTGTTAAATGGTTTATACATATTGGATTCTGGTCATCAGGTTAAAAGAGGGTTAGTATCATGTTGGACTTTCTGACTTGTTTAATATTTGGATCAGATTCAATTCAAGTGTTTTTAGGTCTGATTGGAGTCGAACTCAATCTACAAACCTAATTTGACACCCCTTATCTCAATCAAGTCTTAATATCAATGCCCTACTTACTCTCATAGCAATTTTTTTGTGTCCATGTTCTAGTGTGATATATAAGTTAAGACATAAAACCAACAAATATGATATGAGTTTTTTTTTTTCTTGGAAAATATAAAAAATGTGTAAAGCCACATACATTGCCTATATGAAATGATTATATTATGTGAATTATATATTACAAATGATATCATTATTTTGTAATTGGAGAAGGCATTAAAATAATATGGTAATAGTAAATTATAGCATTTAATTTTCACGACAAAAATTACATAATCCTTGATATATCAAGTTGATAGAGGTTATAGTGCATGGTCATCTTAATAATTATTCATTTCTGAGAGAAGGCTAGTATATTCGAAAAATAGATATCATATGTTCATGGTTAATTGGCATTGAGTATCAATCATGTGAAGGATGTCTGATGGTTCAATTGGGAATGTTAAATGTTGAGTGAAGATCAATGATCTACTAGGCTATTCTTCTTATATTATGAGAGACCGATTACTGAGGTGAGTTCCATGTCACACATCTCGGTCTAGAAAATAAATTACCTCTAGTTTATCTCAAACTAATTAGACTAAAAAGTGAAAGACTTTTCAGCTAGTTCCTATAAGGACCCACCAAGCTTAGCTTTGCCTACAATAGTCACTGCGGACACATTGGTTGAAAAGGATATGCCCATTAAGTTCATAAAGAATAAACCATCACTTTTCTTTCTACTTAGCAAAGTTTTGACATAATTCATAGAGAGAAAAAACATAATCCAAAATAGGGAATAAAATATTACTCTGATATGATGACATAATTGCATTCATTATAATTTTATTAAATCGTAAGTTATGTCTAATTTATTATTCATAATTCATTCCTCATGTTTCTTATTTATGTTTTAGTAGATTGAATATATTTACTGAGATTAATGCTAAACTCATTTAGGGCAAATATTTCTTTGAAACTATTCTACCAAGTTACTTTATATACCATCACTCAAAGAGGAAAACTTTCGGCACTAATTATTTTTTTTAATTCATATTTTCATTTTAATCATAATATTTAGCTCAAACACTTGTTAGTTATTTAAGTGTAGCTTCTTTCATTCTTTGTCAATTAGTTTATTATTCTTTATTTCTCTGATTATCATTAATAAAATTTTATGTAAAAATTTTTATTTTTTAAATAGTTATGCAATATAATCTCACTTACAATTGTATATAAATAAAACTTTTTCTTTAATGTAATTTATTTAATTTAACTCTTAAAGGATATGAGACTATTGGCTTCAAATTTTGATGTAACACGTTTGGGACATTCGTTTGAGCTTGTGGGATTGTACTATACCATAGCTCATAAAAATCCATCTGAGTTCTCTGATGCATTAAAACACTAAGGTGAAATTCAACCCATGCAAACTCGCACCCAGATGTTGGCGCACTCGCGCTAGGCTAATGTTTGATGCCCCTACACTAGTAGTCTGGCACACCCACACCTGCCCATTTCTGGTTCACACACACTAGGGTGGCATTGACCCCACATTGAGAGTCTGAGCAATTGATAGACTCGTGCCTAAGTTTTGGCATACTTGCTCACATCCAGTGGACCCATGCCAATTTTTCTTGGCTCTCCTGTGCTACATCCAGGGCATACCCACTTTAACCTTAATATGCCCAATGCACCCGCGCTGCGAGCCAGATACCCCTGCATTGGGAGCCTGATACCCCCGCGCCACGGACACCTAGTTTTGGCTTTTAAATCCTTGAGACTAGATCAAGCCACATGGATGGTTGATCTTGATCATGGAGTGCTCTATGTGCTGCCACTTCAAAGCAAGAGCCTTGTATGCATAACACATAGGGCAAAAGCACTTTACATGGGCACTATTCCATTCTTGGTGGGGAGAATATAAATAAGGGCTGCCACTTTAGGAGAGCATCTTTAGAAAAAAGGCCTAAGATATTTCTTTGGAGAGGAAGAATATTTTATGGAGTTCTTGTCTTGGAGAGCTTGAGGAGCGTGAGAGAGAGAGAGCTCAAGAGAATCTTTTAGGAGAAGAGCTTGGTTCCTCGGTTTTTCTTTACTTCTTCAATATCTTCTATCTTTATCCTTTCTACTACTATGTTTTCTCCTAAGAAGAGAAAAGTAAAGTGAGTTTCTTAAGGAGATTCTTGAGTTTTCTTGAAGAAATAAGACTACTTCTTCATTCTAACATGGAAGGATCAAGATAAAGCAAAGAGAACGTCAGGCTAAACATCGCAAAGGTGAAAGTCTCTAAGAACTTGGTTTTCTTCCTTTTTAGTAAGCTTTATAGGTATTGTTAGAGAAAATAAGAAGTTTTTTTTGTGATGCATTATGATCCATAAGTGTTCTCCCTCAACCTTAACTCTAAATCCTAAGATATGTGGTATTGTAGTAATCCCACATTTATTTTTTTGTCAGTCCCACTCTTTTGATGGAAAGAGGGACACTTGTTTAGCCTAAAGAGTGAAGATACATTTGATATCTTCATTTCCTAGATTACAAAGATTTCTTTATGAAAACTTTTCATTTTTATGTTGAGAAAACAAAGATGGACTTCTTGTTGCATTGTGTAACAAGATGTTGGTACATTTTTTCATCATCAACCCTAGCTCCATGCGAGATTGCTAGGAGAGGCTTGATTTTTCATCAGGTATGATGCGTTTCATTTCTTATGTGTGCTCATCTCATTTGATTGTGCATTTGTTATATGGCTTGAAAGGGAGTTTTTTCTTTTAAAGACAATGGATATAGAAGCGTGTATTTGATGTGCTTAAAATTTGGAAATATGCATAAAGAATCTATATCTTTTGGTGTGTAGTTCGTATCAAATTACATAAAAAAATACTTGATTTTGATATGTGCATTTCTAAGTATATCTAAAAATGCTTAATTTATTTTTTTTGTCTGATTTGGTATTACATTATATATGAAAGACATGTTTGATTTTAATGTTTTCATTTCTAAATGTGTATGGAAAGATGTAATTAGTTTTCATGTGGCTTGATCAAAAGTGCATGCAAAAATTACGATTTGAGATGTGAGTTTTCAAATTTAGCTTGC